ATTTGCATTATACATCACCTTGCAAATCATCACAACAGTACAAATCAAAAGGCACCCTCATCACCACTGGAAGCTGTACAGAAGGTTGAAGGTGGTGAAAAATTAAGGAAAATCAGATGAAAGTAGTAGTTTTACTTTACTTTACTAAAAACTTGTCGCTGCTTCTTCGCACCTTCGGCTGCGGATGGTCCTAGTATAAAACAGAAAGGCTGACTGGTTGCATATTAATGGTTCGTTACATGAGACATGGCTTTGAACAGGCTCTAAATTTCGAGGTACCTGGCGCAATGGGTGATTAGAAAACTGAGTACTTAACTGTTTAATTTCCACATTTTTGACTAGTTATACAGTGTGGTTGGACAATTGTGTTATATACAACTGACTTTTCGAGTCGTCATCTATTTACTATTCATGAACAAATCATTATGCAAAATGATCCAATGAACTAATGAACAGGAACAAATTTCTTCTCCGCGTGAAAGAATGTATATAAGTTAACAGACTGTTATTGATTAATATAGTGCTACTGCGCACATCTTCCTGTTGGAGTCTTAAGGGAGCATTTAAGCAGTATAACGGCCTATTCATTCGTCATTAGAGTTATTACATAATAAATTTTGTTACTAATAATAAGCAGCACCGAAGTCGCTGACAGATAACCGTGAAAATGAAAAACTTGACAGAAAAGTATACCTTTTCCAGTATCGCCATCTAATAGTTCCAGGTAATGTTGTTTACACAGAACACGGCAGTCTTGCAACGCGAACTCCTCGCCAGTGGACAGCTGCCTCTGGCATGAATCACAGGCGAAGCACGCCAGATGATAAACGTACTGTCTGGCACGGCGTACCCAGTGGTTTGACTGAATCATCTGATTACATTTGTCGCACTTTACACCGAACTGTCTGAAAAGTTCACAATTCACGCATCTACCGATAAACGCATGTTTTGTCTCCGCAATAACTACATATCATCGTCTGTCCGTCCTGCGGCTCGCTTATTCGCTCGACGAGAAGATAACGAGATTGGCAAACGCAGTTCAAGAAGTAATACAGGTGAGTTATTGCCTGTTCATTGCTAGGGGTTTGGATCATTTGTCTCCGATTTCAGTGCTTTGTTATTTGGAAGAGACGATGTAAGAATTTTCTGCGGTAATTTTCAAATAAAACTGGAGTTGAGAATCTCGACCGAGAGTTATTAGGGTGATTTTGATTTTTGAAGTTTTATTCAACTCGCTGATCGCACTTCAGAGGATGAGTTGATACTTCGTACGGAAACGATGTACTTCTTTTGTTGGCGATAGTTCATTTCACCTGCTGCAGTTATTAAATGAAATAGATTTTCTGCACTTAATTTCCTTAGCAGACTTGATACGTATAAAATACACTGACGTCTTACCAGTGCTATAAGGCACAAGCGACACTTCTTTGCTACCACCGCTTTCATTTTTTGTTTGATCAATCGCTGTCCCGCCGATGACCTTCCGTCCACTGATCAGCATCATTATTATGCGCCATCCAAGATGTTCCGCTTAGCGTCTTAACAGCCGTTCGTGGACGTGGCCCATAAAAGCTATTGCTGCATCGCGGCTGGGCGGACATGGAGGAGGCACTGAGGAGGGTCTGTCGAAATCTAGACAAAATCTGTCGTCCCAACATCTGCCATCTAATCGGCGTATATTATACACCGTTTATGGTTAGCGTTAAGTAAATCAGCGTATTCTGCCGGGTTGGTAATAGAATTAACGCCGTCCTGTCAGATGTGACAACAGGACATCGTGCG